ACTAGTTTGGGTAACTTGAGAAGTTGAAGAGCATGTCCACCTTTATGTTGTTTCATCAACAGATGATTTCTAGTATGTAAACAAATCTATTGTTTAATAAAATAAATTACATTTTAAATTGACTTGATGTTGTTTTACTTGTATCCTCCCATTGTTATTTAGGACTGTAATTGATCAGTCTCATGTTGGCATATGTGCATCCTGTGAGGATTACCTAGATATATCCTTAAGTCACAAGCTTTACAACCAAAGATGGATAGCTGACGAGTCCCAACTAGGACGAAACGCGCGACTAACTGGATTCCACTACTAGCCACTATCCAATTTTGCTTGAATATTACAATGTTGAACGTTTTTGATTATTACAGTAGATGAGATATGTAGATATTTTGTTATTTAAACATTAAATAGTTAGTATAGTAGTGAATGTTATGACTTTTACATGGTTAATTTATCATGTGATAAGGTAGCCAATCAGAATATGACTTATACAATCTTAGTACTGTCCCAAACCAATGAAATGGTGATCGGTACGAGCAGCCTAATGTCCTTATTGGTCCATTTTCCTGCCTAACCCTGCCTGTTGTGTCCAGAACACCAATATCAGCTTACACTATGCGGGAGTCAGCTCTCCGTCTCCAAATGTTCTCACATAGCGACGTGCATACAATCACTAACAGGGAAATCCTACTCACTGCCTTCTCGTGGCGAAGGTGTTGCTTACGAAATCGAAAGGACGAAAAGCGAATTTCCGATGCTTTAACTGGGTTGGTGGACAAGGAGAGTCCACCTAGGGGAGTTGAAAAACACTGAATCCAAACCAATGGTATACATGAGCTTAAGAACCCCAAGGGAACGAATAGTATATGAACCAATTGTTGGTCACCGACTACCATGGGACTTCATCTCTTGACATTGCTTCACTGCCTAGTGGACTGGACGTTTACGTCGAAAGCCTCAAGTATGATCCCCTAAGAAAGCCACCTGCTTCGGTCTGTGCACTCGGACAGTATCAGAGGCCACAAACACTCAAATCAAATAACTTGTGTTAGAGGGATGATTATAAATACAGTGGTCTTGAGTGTTGTTAGAGGTATGAGGGCGGTTATCACTTCCCGGTTGCCCAAACCATCAAATAGTTTTTCTGGAGGTACCTGAAAAGCAAATTGAATTAGAAGCGGTCTTAGTGACCTGAGAGCGTGACCACAGTGCCCAAAGGACAACTGCTTGTGGTCGGTCACACACGACCTTTTTATGAGTAGTTTTTGTGTTAGCTCCGTACTTGCTGAGACCTTACCGCCGGAGACGGATATCCGCAGGGAAGGCAGCATCGCTGTCATGCTGGTTGTCTGAAGGAAACATCCTACTGCTGTCAAACCTCTGTACAGTCAGCAGTACTACTTCGCCTTCAGACATTGGGTTTGTTGCTTTTAGTCTTACCGCTCTTCAACCGACCTATCTGACATGGTAGGACCTTGAGGAACGGTTGTTCCAGCCAGTATAGTTCGAGTGGTTCATCACGATAGGCAAGTCCGACCACCACGTCAAGGTAGCAACAACGGTTGGGAAATAACTTGTGTGGCGTATATATATTTGGCACCTCTTTATACCAATATTTATGTGTTCAAATAAATAAATAAATCACTAAAGATTCTAATAGAGATTGATCATTATGTAATACTAATCATTCCCCTAATCATTAGATCACACTACTGATGTTACTTAGATTAATTAGTCTAAAATAGTTGCCCAGTATTTTTCTCAATTTTCAATGTTTTATTAGCTTTAAATCAATTTGAAACTCTTGTCATATCCATTTTTTATTATGATTAATCTTTCTCTTTTAAATACTTCTAATCTCTCTCTCTATCTTTCAATATTGAATATTACCTTAATCGGATATTGAATCAGTCGTAAAGTAAGTAGTTTGAATCGAAGTAGCCAAAGAGAACAAAATTATTTCCCTAATTTATTTATTTTTTTCCTTTTTTCTTCTTTCATTCTTTCTAAATTCATGACCTAATGAATTTGAATTTTATAAAAATTGAACTGAAAAAAACTTTTTTTTTCTGTTGAGGGGTGGTGGTGGGGATGACAAGGAGGTAGGGGTGGGGGATGGAAAGAAAAAAACGACTGAAAATGGATTAGGGTGGTGGTGGTGGTGGTGGAGGTGGGGTATCATTTTTCACTATCCATTTAAAATTAATTCATTTTTCATGCTAGTCAATTTATTATTTGATCTAATGATTAAATTTTAATATCTAACTTGAAATTTTAGAGGGGTAAAGAAGGATTTTTTTCAGGTTTACTCTACTTAAATCATGGTTACCAAGTAGTATATATATATGTTAGATTAGAGTTTAATAAGAGATTTTTATTCGTTTATATCTTATTGTAATAGATGTGTTGTTATTGACAAGAAGACTAAATGAGCATTACACTTACTTATTTACTTAGGCTTGTTACCCCTCATTGAGGAGCATAGGCCACTTTACCAGGATTTTCCATCCAACTCTGTCGTGAGCAATCTTTTCTAGTTTTTTGTTAGTTACTCTTCATTATTTTCATGTCTACTTCTAATTCCCGACGCAGGATGTTCTTTGCCTTTCCTCTTTTCCGTTTCCCTTCAGAATTCCAAGTTAGAGATTGCTTCGTGATGCAGTTTAGTAATTTACATATGTGTGTCCTATTCACTCTTGATATCTTTTCCTAATTTACTTTTCACATAGAAGTTGGTTTGCCCTCTATCAAACTAGGCTATTGCTGATGGTATCCGGTCAACGGATATTGAGTATCTTGCATAGACAACGTTTATAAATACTTTTACCCTTTTGGTGTTATTTGTAGTAGGTCTCCAAGTTCCAGCTTCGTACAGTAGAATCGTCTTGATATGTATTTCGTGCATTACTCTATTCGTGATCGGAGTACAGCAGCATCTCTCACATATCTAGCCTTTGCTATCTAGCTTGGGTCCAATGGGTTTCGATAATTCCGGAAACCACTAAGTTGTATCTCCTCATTTCCCTTGCTATTTGACTGGTTCTCCCGGTCTCCCACATCGTCCGGACATTCTATGTAGTTATAAAAATTGTTGATATGTCTTGTTAGAAATGGCATCGTTCTGGTGACTTTCGAAGAATCTCAGCGTCAGTTTGTAGGGTAGAGTTTAAATGGATTAATTTACTCATTCTGGATAGCAATTTTTAGCAAGGTTTTTTTTCTATGGGTTGGGATTGCCGACCTCATACCCAACCCACCTTCTCTACCCTGTCCTGGGACGGTCAGTAACCATAGAAGAGCTACAGGTAGGGTTATAAGCATTGAAGCTACAATGAATTGCATCGTTAAGCCAATCATAACTTCTAGTATTTTTTAACGAAATTTCACAAAGTAATATTAATTGGTGTTTACTTAATGAAATGTTTTCTGTTAAATATCCTTTCTTGATACCTTAAACGTTTATGGTTGATGCCCCCCCCATCCAGCCAAATAAGCCTAGTAGGCCCTTCTGGAGAAAAACAGGCCACATCGAAGCATGGCACAACTACCGGGGCTAGAATAGCTGTTTATGCAACCAGTTGGAGTTTGCCACGTGAGGAACAATCACGTACATTACATGCACCACTTTTGTCACTTTTTTGTCGTTTTTCCAATCATGAGTAATTGTGCTGTGTTTCTTTGTGGAGTTTGTAATTGGTTTGAGGGTATCGGTTGAGTCGGTAATTAGACCGATCTTTACCACTCGGCTTTCCACTCACGTTAGTTCATGGGTTATCTGTCCCACTATCCAGGAGGTACGACGTGGACGTGTGAGTCGGATTTTGCCTTTCATGATTGATAGGATAGGATTTATTGTACAATATCAATGAAAATGATGTGATGTGAAAGCGAAATTAAACGGAACATTTAGTTCTACTGATATGGACTATAGCTGAAGTATAACTTTTATAGACTTTATTTCTGTTTATTTATTTTAAGTTTTTGATTGAAATCACAAATCGAATGGTGTTAGACCATCATCGACAGTCTGGAACCACCAGAAATCTGTTTTGGTCCCAGTATGGGACTTCGTCAGTAGCGCGCATCCACAATCCAGCTCGCGGGATTCAAACCCATGACCAATCAGTCTCACGTGTGATTGCTTAATCACCAGACCACTGAGTCGGCATTCAACGATGTTAATGTCGAACTTCCATTAATCCTCAGTGCTTCCAGATTTTCAATAGTGATTCAACATTAGTCGATTCATGTTCTTAACCAAAAACTAAACAATCTCTACAACCACATACTGATAATCTAATTAGTCTATCTTGATATACAGATCTGGTGAGTTAAAGTCATTGGTACTAAAATCAAGTTTAAGTATGGGCGTCAACACTTAGAATTTCAAGATGTCTAAATGAAAAACTTCTTTAAAACATAGGAATCACCAACTAGTGCCTATTCACAATAACATTTTCTAGAATTATAATATATAGCACTCTGTTTTATGATCCAAACTTGTTAAATCATATGTTTTACACAAATTTCAATATTTTCATTCTAACGTTCATTTTATAAACACATAAATGTCCTTTTAATAGTCTAATTTATGAGTGAATTAAAGCTAGACCACCATGAAAAACCTTGAAGCACTGGAAAACCTTTTCGTCTTAGTATGAACCTTCTCAACATTGTGCATCCACGATCCCACCCCCCGCGAGATTCGAACCCAGGATCTATCAGTTTCGCAAGCGAGCGTCTAACCACTAGACTACTGGGACATCAGCTCGCTGAAGACAATGATATACGGTGGTGCAATTTCGTGAATTAATTGAAGTTAGACATTAACATCGTTGAATACTGATTCAGTGGCCTAAAGGTTAAGCATTCATACGCGACACCGAAGGTCCTGGATTCGAATCCCGCGCGGAGGGGGCCGGATCGTGGATACACACCGCTGAGAAGTTTCATACTAGGATGAAATGGCTATCTAGTGCTTTCAGGTTTTCCATGGTGGTCTAGCTTCAATTGACTCATGATATATATATATATATGATAAATTTCGTCGTTTCACTGTATTATGGTTGAATAAATAATCTCATTTTATAATGAATGAATTCATGTGGTTTACATTCAATAGTGAAAAACAAATGAAAGAAAAGAAAATAAAGATGAATTTAGTTAAATTATAGTTAGTTCGTTAGGTATGAAAACAAGTTGTTAGGACAGATAAGCAAAATAAACATTATTTATAGATTGTATTATATTCATAAGACTAGTTTATACTTGGATTTCCCCCCCCCCATTCATCTATTCTATTCCCTTGAAATAAATGAACATATAATGATATTTATATACTCATGTAATATGACTTAGTTTTGAGATGATGATGATGATGATGATGATGATGATGATGATGATGATGATGATGATGATGATGATGATGATGATGATGATGATGATGATGATGATGATGATGATGATGATGATGATGATGATGATGATGATGATGATGATGATGATGATGATGATGATGATGATGATGATGATGATGATGATGATGATGATGATGATGATGATGATGATGATGATGATGATGATGATGATGATGATGATGATGATGATGATGATGATGATGATGATGATGATGATGATGATGATGATGATGATGATGATGATGATGATGATGATGATGATGATGATGATGATGATGATGATGATGATGATGATGATGATGATGATGATGATGATGATGATGATGATGATGATGATGATGATGATGATGATGATGATGATGATGATGATGATGATGATGATGATGATGATGATGATGATGATGATGATGATGATGATGATGATGATGATGATGATGATGATGATGATGATGATGATGATGATGATGATGATGATGATGATGATGATGATGATGATGATGATGATGATGATGATAGAGAAGATTTATAGTTTCATTAAATGATTTTAATCGAGTTTTGTTCTTTGAACTGGATGATTTGATTGTGGAACTTTCATCATTCTTCTAAACGATATCATGAACATACACTTCAAGTCAATAGGAACTCATATCAATATCAAAGTCTAACACTTCACTTCTATCTGAAGTTTATGTTGATGATGTCGTTCATGAAGAATAATGAACGACATCATCACAACCAAGCCATCCAGTTCAGAGAATAAAACTCTATCCAAATCATCTAGTTGAATTACAAAATGTTTTGATTTTCATCATCCCGATTTCACTTAGGTTAGATATCACACTCTGCAGAAATTAATTAATAAACCTTCAATTTTATAAATTATTTACTTACTTAGTTAGTTACTTACGCCTGTCACTCCCAATAAAACATAGGCCGCCAACCAGCATTCTCTAACCAACTCTGTCCTCTGTATTCCTTTCTAGTTCTATCCTATTGTTGTTCATTCTTCTCATGTCTATCTCCATTTCTTGACGTAGTATGTTCTTTGGTCTCCCTCTCCTCTCTCTTTGGTCCTGAGGATTTCATGCGAGGGTTTGTCCTGTGATGCAGTTTGATGCTTTCCTGAATCTGTGTCCTATCGACTTCCAGCGCCTCTTCCTGACTTATCCCTCTATTGGGATCTGGTTTGTTCTCTCTCAGAGTAGGTTATTGCTGACAAGTGTCTGATCAACGGATCTTATTCAGTAACTTAAAAGTAAAGTGTTTAACAATGCTGGTAAAGTTCTTTTTTAAACACTGGATTTAATGTGATATCCTATTTACACGTACTATTGAGTACTTCTTAATTTGAATGGAAAATATATTTTAAATGTTATCACGTAAGGATTATTTTCCGATAGTAAATTTTTACAGTTGAATTCATGAGTCAACCTAAGCTAGATCACTATTGGAAGTCAGGAAGTACTGGATGACCATTTCGTCCTAGTACGAGAGAGACTCTTCGTCAGTGCGTATCCACAATCCCGCACACAAGACTCAAATCCAGGACCTATCACTCTTGCGCGTGAAAACTCAACCTCTAGATCATTAAGCTATCATCCAACGATACTAATGTCTAAATTCATTCAATCCATGTTCTTACTCAACTCTTGAGTCCCGCGTATAGAATCCTTATTGCATACTACTCAGGATTCCTATACTAGAATGAAACGATCCTTGAATGCTTACAAATTTTCCATAGTGGTCTAACTTAAATTGACACATGAATTTAATTGTGAAAATACTACAATCTTCACAATTCCCCATACTGATGATAAACTTATATTTATAAAACAAATGTATCTACATAAATCTCTTAAAGATTTGGACAAATCATTAAGTGGAACTTCTTTTATTCAATAATATAAGTAGTATTATACATTTTATGTATGTCGGATTTTGTTATAATTGACTAACCAACTAACTAATTACATCATTAGCATAAGTACTTTTATTTAAACGTTTACAACTTAACGCTAATGTGAAATGATGCGAAACACTGCAGTGATTAGTTGTATGTAGTTTCTTTGTCATATAGCGATAATATAACTGAATTACATAAAGAAAGAACTAAGAATGCTCTACACCAACTTATCTAATACGTTAAGAACATGAAAGGCTGAAGATGATTGTAATTGTACATAAATGACAAATAGTTACTATTGTAAAGAGGGGGAGAGAGAGCGAGAGAGGGAGTAAATTTTCATTGCCGTTTATTACTTTGTACTAAGAACAATGTACTTTAACCGAACATAAATTATTGAATAGTACTATTTTCATTCATTATCTGTCCGATATAGATAGTAAATAGATTGAATACAAACATTACTATGGTATTTTGTCCCTAAATTGTTAAGGTGTATCTTAGTTTATATCAATGAATGACCAGTTATTTGTTTGTAAGAACATTTAGTTGATCAAATATCTGGATAAGTAGTAGGGTTCGATTCGCACTAAGAAGGACCTGAAATACATGACATTGATCATCCACCACTCAATGATCAATCAATTGTGATTACATCTCTGTCTTACAGGAGGTCAGTCGCGTCTTTGACTTTAAAGCTGGATGACATAGCATCGAATCCGTCAGGGAGCATCAGTTCCCTCAAGATTACAGGTACACCTTGCTGACGAGTACAAAGTAACTTAAAACCTAGGTTCAGGGTTTCCTGATGACTACCTTCAATTCACCATCTTATCTTAACATAGTTCATGCAACGTCGAGTCACCTTGACTGGTTGCTATATTGCAACTTGATCGATAGGATTCTATCTGCACTAAGAAAGACCTGACGTATATGACATTGATCACTTACCACCCAGTGATCAATCAATTGTAAAAAATATCACTATGACATTTTGTCCTTAAAATTGACTGTTAAATTATCAAGGCATATCTCAGTTTGTATCAATGAATGGCCATTCATTTATCTGTGAGAACATCAAACTATTAGATGGAAACAATATAAAGAAAATCAGGGAAAATTTTGGAAAATCTTCTCATAGGTTAAGATTCAATTATTGAATGTTATCGAAATAGGACTATTCTATCAGCTTATGAGGAAAATCATAGACGTCTATAAGGTCACGGATCAGGTTATAATAGTAATAGTAATCAGCTAACAACAAGGTACATGGGACATATCAGTTCACAGGTGTGATCAAATTGAGATGGTTGAGAAGATTTGTATCTCAGGTGGATGATTTTGGTGAAGTTTTAGCCAAACCATCCAGCTCAGAGAACGAAACTCTATCAAAATAGGATTAAAATATTATAAATGTTACAGAATATAATGTAGTAAACTGATAGGTTAGGTTGTGATTTTATAACACACATTCTCTACTGAAACAGTGAAACGATTGTTAATGTATGAGAACATTAGCAATGATAGTAAAACTGTAATGTACAATGTCAAAGACGGAGTACTCTATGGACGTTGCGTTGTGACGAATGACTGATGGTTGCACAATTTCGTGGATTGGTTGAGTTTAAACATTAGCATCATTAGATGACGGCTCAGTGGTCCAGAGGTTAAGTGTTCGCGCACGAGATCGAAGCTTCTGGATTATAATCCTGCGAGCCGGATCGCAGTTATCTAGATTCTACAAACAAGAATCACCAAGTACTTAATTAAAAATTGACGTTTGTAAACGAACACTTATGCATTTACCATACTACCTTACATTGTAAACTGTTCTAGACTATATTTACTTTATTTCACGACCATCAGTTGTTCTTGATTGATACCATGAACCGATTAATGTTAAAACACCATGAAAAACCTGGAAACACTGGATGGCTGATTCGTTCTAATGTGAGACTCCTCAGGAGTGCACATCCACAACCCCGCCTCGCGAGATTCGAACAGTGGTGGATATGTCGCTCAATTTCGTCGATTATTTGAAGTTAGACATTAACACCGTTGAATGCCGACCAGCTCAGTGGTCTAGAGGTTAAGCGCCCGGCGCGAGAGAC